ATCAAGGTGCCAGCAGCCTGGTTTCTGGTGAGGGGTCTCCTCCCGGCTTGCAGATGGCTGCCTTCGCTGCCTTCACAGGGCCTTTCCTCTGTGCACGTGCAGAGAGAGTTCTGATGTCTTCCTCTTCATATAAGGACACCGGTCCTAGAGGATTAGAGGCCCTATCTCCAAATACGGCCGCATCTGGGGGTTAGGGCTTTAATAAATGGATTTGGAGAGACACAGTTCAGTCCATGATACAAGGGTTGCCTGTCCCAGCACCATCAGGAGTGGCCCTGCTCCACACCCCCTGTCATGCTCGGTTGCGCTGGGAGCAGCCCCAGACAGGCGTGGCCTGAGCTAACACTATAGTAAGATCAGAAGTACAACCCCTGCTGTGTCACTGACCCGTTGCAGGAGTTTCCACGGCTGCCACAAGTCTTAATGATAAGCGTAAGGGCAACACTCGCTTAGAGTCCGCTGGGTGCCAGGCACCATTACAGGGCTCAGCATCTCATGGGATCCCTGCACAACCATATGCAGTCAGTCCGGCTGTCCCCATTTTACCAACGGGGAAACTGAGACACACAGATCCTAAGCGACTTTCTCTGGAGATGTCACAGCAGGGAACTGTCCCTCAGTCTCCCAGCCTGGCCCCCTCCCCCTCTGTCTGAGGGTGGTTTGGGAATTCACAACATTTGCACCCCTTGTGTCAGGCTAGCCTGTGAAGGTGTCTAATCTTTCTGCCAAGCATCCCGGCTCTAAGGGATAGGCCCAGGGCCAAAAGCACTCACTTCGACAGGACCCCACCCCTATCTGATTGACATCCAGTGTTGATATGCCTATAATAGGAATTTGAACGGAGAGCCCAGGGAGGTCTGGTGCTCTGTCCAAGGCCACACAGCAAGCTGACAGCAAGGCCAAGGAAAAGAGCCATCAGTCTCATGCTCCTGGCCTAATAGTAAAAAATCCCCATGCCCTGCCTCAAGGCAGCTTGGCCTACTACAAAGAATCACCTGGCACCCTGAGTTCAAATCCTACCTCTGCCACTTCTGAGCTACGTGACCTTGGGCACATGGCATCTCTTCTCTGGGCCTTCATTTTCTTGTCTGGAAAATGGAGAACAGCAACATCTACCTTACTGGGCCTCACCTTGGGGAAATGACTTCACCCCACCCCTTTATGCCTCAGTTCCCACATCTGTAAAATGGGGACACAACAGTACCTACCTCATAGTGCTGTGGTGAAGACTGTAGGAATTCTAATTCGTGTAAAGTGCTTTGGTTGTTAGATTTGGTCACAGTTTGACTTTGGCTGAGTCATCTGAATACCCCCTGCCACCTTCTCCCTCAAATCGGGGAACCAGGAAGGAAGTGTGGGAAGAAGAGGCCCAAGGGCCTATCTCAGTCCTGCCCCCAACTCGCTGGCGGACTTCAGGGAAGTCACAGGACTCCACTTTTCCCCCTCTGTGCACTGGGAACCCTTTCGGTCCCTCCCCAGTATGACTTTCCACACTGGAATTTTTGGGTCCCAGAGTGGAGTTCAAAGCAGGATTATTAGATTCTGGATCTCCTGGGGACTGATGAGAATATATGAGGCCATACCTGATCCTGAGACTCCGCAGAACATCACCAAGCAGACAGCGGCCTCCAGATCACCACAGGACCAGGCATGCTGCCTCCCCTCACATAATAGCAGCCTTATCACACTTACCAAGCCCAGCTATGCACCTAGCACCATGCAGAGCTCTGTGTTCTCTCATCCAGACGTCATAACGTGGCCCCATTTTACAGATGAGAAAATGGAGGCTCTGAGTGGTTAACTGTCCAAAGTTATTGGCCAATCTGGAGCCAGAGCTGGCCCCAGCAGCCCTTGAATCATATTGCCTCTGTCGGTATCTTTTTTAATCTTCCCAATAGTAATTCCTGGGAATTAGAAACTGTTGTAGATCTCCCACTGTACTGGGGGGAAACGAGGCTCACGGCTCCTTGAGATTTGGATGCAGAGCTGGGCTTCAGCTTCTGTGAGCTTAACCACTATGTTCTACCCTGTACCAGCAAATGAAGGCAAAAAACGGGAGCCTTGGAATTGCTAGACCTCTATCAAAAAAAAAAAAAAAAAGGAGCAGGAATCCAGTCAACCCTGTTCCTCCAACCTCTCCAGAGGCCCACCTAAAGGCAGCTCCCTCTGGACAGAGTGTGCAAGGCAGCAGGAGTGGCCCACAGGGCCTCCGAGCAGAGTGAAGGAGTGAAGCGTCAATCCCTGATCCCTGGAAATGAGGTGGATGATACCCTTTATCACCCAAGTGTAATCGTTTGGCTTAGATGGGCTCGTGGCCAGCCAGCCCTCAAGCCACGAGCTGGATCTTTTCCACCTCCTTGGAACCAGAGTGAACCCTCCATGGCCCACTCAGAGCTGCACCCTCCCGTGTTTATCTAACTTCCCTGACCCCGGCAAGTGCTCGTAGCCTTTCTCTTCCTTTCTGAAAAACCAGGACACAATAGGAAGCGTTTCCTTGAACTTATTAAAAAATCCAGACTTGTAAATTAATTTGTCCGTGTTGTACAAAGGCAGTGCAGATGGACTCATTAGCATGCACACAACAAATAATTATAGATGAATTTTTAGCTGGCCTGCCTAATGCGCTTGCTGGGTTAATTATGTCAATGTATAATTACATCAGCCCGGGGAGACATAATGGCATACCCCGCTGAGCAGGCCCTGCCTAATGACGGGGCGTGGGGGGAGTGCTGACAGAGGGAAGACAGCAGCGTTCCCGCGCACCTGCTTACCTCGGCACAAACGCCCATTGTCAGAGCATCCCGAAACAGGCAGGAGGAGAGGGATAAAACGCAGAGGCGACCTTGTTCCAGCCGGACCTGAAGGCTCCTGTATGTAGACACTGCCCCATTTCTTCCATCAGCAGATGTTTATTGGGTCAGATTGCATGTTGGACTTCATTCACCCACAAGGGGTCAAGTTGGGAGCAAAAACAGGTGCAGTCCCAGCCCTGCCTTGTGGAGTTTGCAGACCAGTGGGTGTTAATTAGGTAGACTTGCCAATCAATGAAAATTGTAAGTACAATGAGTGCTGTAAAGGAAAGGTGCAGGCAGCTGGGAGAGCTCAGATGGAGGAATGACTGACTGGTCAAGGCAGGCTTCCTGGAAGAAGTGGCATTTGAGTTGCAATATGAAAGGTGATTAAGCATTAACTAGCGGGAAGAGGTTAAAAGAGAAGACAGGGTGTTCCTGGCAGTGGCTCTTGCCCAGACAAAGGCTCCAGGGTAGGAAGGTGCATTTGAGGAACTAAGAGAAAGCCAGTGTGACTGGAGCTCAGAAAGGCAGGAATAGCCAGGGCTTCCATTTATTCCAAGGTGAACAAATGCCAGGCGCTGTATTGAGCACTTTATGTGTGTGGATCCTCATCCCAGCCCTATGAGGTCGGTACTTTTATGGTGAGACACAGAGAGGTAGAGTTGTTTGCCAGAGTCGGACAGCAGTCCTAAAAAACAAGTATAGATTAGACCAGGACCCAGGATCCATGCTCCATGGACCAGACCCAGGCCCCTTGGTCTGGAGCAAGGAGGCCCTGGCTTTCCTGGGTCCCCCCTGAACACCCGCCTGGGCTGCTTGGGTGGAAATGTCCACACCTCTGGGTTAGGAAGCCTTTGTGGCATCTGAGAAAGACACCCAGACTTGAACCTCACCTCCGCCCTTCAGCAAGTCACCTGGCTTCTCTGAGCTGGTTTCCTCATCTGTGAAAATGAGTTGAATGCAAGCCAGCCTCCAGGGGGTGCTGGGAGCATCATGGGAACCCATTCTCATGAACAGCTTTGTAACCTAGAAGAGGCCATAGGAACCTCTGGCATTATCCAGGTGTTCTTAGTACCTGCCCACAGTGGGGAGTTGGGGAAGATACCTGGAAGAACTGCTGGAATCCAGATCTGAAGGAAGAGGAAGTTCTTACTAGATGGGGGGGGAGGGCGGGGGGGGGGACAGGGAGGGGCCATAATTTTAGCTATTGAGAAATTGGGGGGTATCTTACATCCAGGTATGTATTTCACCCCCAGAAAAGCCATTATTTAATCAACCGCACGTGGGGGCACGTGGGTGGCTCAGTCAGTTGGGCGTCTGCCTTTGGCTCAGGTCATGACCCCAGAGTCCAGGTTCCCTGCTCAGCAGAGAGTCTGCTTCTCCCTCTCTTCGCCCTCTGCCCCTTCCCCCCCCCCCCATGCGCTCACTCTCTCTCTCTCTCTCTCTCAAATAAATATTTTTTTTAAATAGACCATGCATGTAACAAATGATGGTGTGTTTGTCCAGGTCCATTGAGAAGCACCCCAAGGATTAGATAGATAGATAGATAGATAGATAGATAGATAGATGATAGATGATAGATAGATAGAATTGAGGAAATGCAGGGGAAGGAAAATAGGGAGGGAGGTGGGAGAGGTGTCAGAGGAAGAAGAGGTAGCAAACTGGGTGGAAGCATCCAGACGGTTTAGTCTGGACCATCTGTACAGTGCTGGGCAGGCCTTGGAGGAGTCGTTGGTCCTCAGAGCAGTCCTGTGCCCCTCAGGAGTCGGCCCCATCTCAAGCTGCCTGCAGGCCTGTGTGGGAAGGCCAGGGGCAAGGCTGACCTCAGACTGATGGTTGTCAGAGTGGGGTCCTTGTTTATGGACACCTGTGGTTGGAGGCATACAAGACAGTCTCACGGCCACCAGGGATGGCACCATAGAATCCAGAAAATGCAGTTATTGTGACAGTTATTGTTGTTATTATTATTCCCGGGTAGGCAAGACACCCATACGCATGGGGATGGCACACACTCCCCTGAGCAGATCCCTAAAGAAGGCTGCTCCCTCACAAAGCAGAAGTTCCACATTGCTCTCCTAAGCCGTCAGAGCAACTCCAGGAGGCTCTTGTGGATGGTCCCCTCCACTCCCTGTAGAGCGGCTTCAGCCTGGGCAGCCCTCAGCCCTCAGGGCCCCCACCACTCCTGGGCTCCTCTCTCTGTGTGTGCAGACCCTGCGCCTGTGTTTGAAGCGACGCGCAGCCTAGACGACAGACTGCAGCCCCCCAGCTTCGACCCCAGTGGGCAGCCGCGGCGAGACCTCCACACTTCGTGGAAGAGGCACCCCGAGCTCCTTGGCCCCAAAGGTACTAATAAGGCCTTATGGGTTGTCCATAATAAACAAATGGGCTGTGGATCTTCAGCTGCCAATCTTGGCCACCTTTGGAGGGGTGGGGGTGGCGGCAGCAAGGAGCTCAACTTTATCATCTTAGATGTAGGGTGGGTTACAGTACACCACTGCTGAAACAACCCAGCCCCAAATCCCAGAAGTCTAAAGTACTTGAAGGTTGGGAAGTTGGAGGGGATGCTCCATGTCCCCTGCTGCGATTCTGCCGTCTTTGACACATGACATCCAGAGTCATGGTGACTGTCACAACCGGCTGACAGGCAGAGAAAAAATGTGGAGGATCATACCGAAGTTTATGGCTCCAGGCTCAGAAGTGGCACACGTCACTTCCAGCCACATCCCAGTGACCAAAATTCCCATCATGTGGCCCACACCCAGCTGCAGGGGAGCCGGGAAGTACAGTCTGACTATGTGCCCAACAAGGGAGGGAAACAGGATGTGGTGAACACAGCACTGTTTCAGTATCAAATGAGACGAGTCAAGAAACTGGAAGAGCTAAAAATAGAGTTCAGATATACATATATTATGATAAAAAATGTTTAAAAGCAAGAAAATAATGGACAAAATTCAGCTTGGTGGTTACCTCTGGCAGGTGAGGTGGGAGGTCTCCGTGGGGAGGAGCAAATCTGCACGAGAAATCTCTTGGTAACCATCTGAGTGTTGGGTGTTCACTGAGCTGCAAGCCAGGCACTGTCATAGGCACCGGTGATGTATCTGGGAACAAAACAGACAAAAATCCCTGTCCTCGTGGCGCTGACCTTCTAGAGGGAAAGGCTGACTGTCAACCAATAAATGTTAAATATATAGTATTTCAGGTGGTAAGAAAGGCTTTGGGGGGAAAATGAAGCAGAGAAGAGGGAAAGAGTCTAAGGAATAAATGAGAATTTACCTCAAAGGTCAGCAAGATTACCTTCGTTTTTTTGGTAAAGGACCAGGAGAGTAAATACTTCAGACTTTGCAGGCCACACATTTTCTGTCACAGCTACTCAAATCTGTGTGGAAAAAAGCCATAGAACATGGGTAAATGAGTGGGTGTGGCTGTGTTCCAATAACACTTTATAGACAAAACAGGTGATGGGCCAGTTTTGGCCCAAGGGCTATCATTGCAGATCCCTGGTCTGTCGCCTGGAGATAATGGGCTGAGGCCTGCCAAATCAAAGTTTGACTGCTCTGGCACACTCCCCAATTCACAGCTCCCTCCCTACCTCCCAGTGCCTAGTGAGCACCTACTGTATGCCTGGTCCTTGGCAGAGTCCTTTGGGGAAGATTTATGGTGACTAAAATACACCACTTTGCCAGCTCTGTTCCTGTACCCAGAATGCCCTTCCAGCCTCCCTGATAAGCCAGCTCATATATAGATGGCTCTGTGCAGTCTCTGAGGTCCCTTTAGGGCTTGAACTTCCCTCTATCAGAATAATGGCAGTTGTGGGAACCGCTTCTTCAGAGCATTCTGTGCCATGTGCATTTCACACGGCTTCCCACTGTCCCCTTGTATCAACCTTCTGAGGTGTCACTGGCCCCAGGAAAGGGGGCCAGCTTTTCCTTGACAAGCAGGAAAACTGAGTCTCAGAGGCAGTGGGCTGCCAAGCAGGGATTCAAACCAAGGGCTCTTGACCTTGGCCCTGGGCTGTGTCTCTCTTTGAGTGCTGTGCTTCGTGATGGTCAAATCTTGTTTGTTTGTTCACTGCTGTGGCCTCAGCCCCGGCAACAGTCCGTGTGTGTGTGTGTGTGTGTGTGTGTGTGTGTGTGTGTGTGTGTCTGCGCGCACGCGTGCAGAAGAACAAGCCAGGCCCTGAACACTCTGTCAGGCCCTCAAGGGACTCACTCTACAGCCTACCCTGTTCTGCACTCACCGTAGGTGCCTAACAACCAGGACAGAACGTAATGGAGTCAGTCAGACCCAAGGTCAGGAGCCCAGATTTTGGAATTCTTGAGATATTCACCCTCGATGGCCAGCCTCTGAGCACCCTTTCCGCTTGTGACAAATTGAATGCCAAAGGCACACACACTGATACCCTGAAGGAGCCACCACGGGTCTGCAAAGCTGGACCCGATGTGGGCCCTGCCCAGGGGTACCCGCAGGTGCAGTGGGCTATGACTGAGCATCTGAGTGTGTGCCGTCACCTACAGTTACCCCATAATCCAGCAATTTCACTCCTAGGTATCTACTCCAAAGAACTGAGAACAGGTGCTCAAACAAACACATGTACACAAATGTTCACAGTAGCACTATTCACAACAGCCAAAGGTGGAAACAATCCAGATGTCTATCAGCAGATGAATGGAAAAACAAAATGTGGCCTGTCCATGAAATGGAATATTATTTAACCATAAAAACAAGTAAACGAGTGATGGTCTGATCCATGCTACAACCTGGAGGAACCTCAAAAACATTTTGCTAAGTGAAAGAAGCCAGACACGAAAGGACATATATTATGTATGATTCCAGTGATAGGAAATATCCAGGATATGCAAATCCCCAGAGACAGAAAGTAGATTGGTAGTTGCCAAGGGCTAGGGGAGTAGGGAAAAGGAGTGACTAGTTAGTGGGGACGGGCTTCCTTTTGGGGTAGTGACAGCACTCTGGGATTCATGCTAACGGTTGCACAGTACTGTGAATGTATTAAATGTCACTGAATTGTATACTTTTATGTATATTTTACCATGACTCTTAAAAAAGTAAGAAGGCCAAGGAGGCAGGAACAGGTCCAAGAGGGTAACGGAAGCCTCTGAGCTTGCTGGCTAAGACTGGCACATGGGAACCTGACATTCATTCACACACGCCCCCCACGGTGACAACCCAGCTGACCATGGTGATGGCAGGTCTCTCCAGCTGCACTCTCTCTAACACCCGAGTTTAGGAAGTTAGGTCTTGTCCCAGCACTGCCAATCCCTCCGGTTTGCAGAAGGCACCTCTGGCTGCCACGCCACTTCCAGTGATGGGTGGTCTTCCCTCTTTTCTCCCCCTCCAGAGCAGAGAGAGGGGACATCTCCGGCAGGGCCCACGCTGACCGAGGGGAGCCGCCTCCCGGGCATTCCCAGCAAAGCCCTCCTGACAGAAACTTTGCTGCAGAGAAATGAGGCGGAGAAACAAAAGTGAGTGGGGAGGAACAGGTGGGCCCGTGCTGCCCTGCCTGGCTGGGAGGTGGGACCTTCAGGGAATCCAGATGCAGGTTGGAGAGAGAGATGCAGGCCCGGGTCTCCAGCCCCTCCTCAGCAGCTCAGCAGCCAGCCCTGGGCAGCTCACATCACCTGTCTGAGCTTCAGTTTTCGCAGTTGGAAAATGGGGCTAGTGGGGGTGTATTAGTCAGGGTTCCCCAGAGAACTAAAACCAGAAGGGTTTTCTATTTTAATTAAGACACGTATTTCAAGGACTTAGTACACACAGTTGGAGCCGACAAGTCTTAATCAGTAGAGCCAGCCAGGAGGCTGGAAAGTCAGGCAGGAGTCAGTGCTGCAGTCTTGAGGCAGAAGTTCTTCTTCCTCGGTTTTAGTCTTAAGACCTGCAACTGATTAGACAAGGCCCACCCACATTATTGAGATTATTCTCCTTTACTTAATGTCAACTGACTGTAGATGTTAACCCCACCTTCACAGCAACCCCAAGATTAGTGTGTGGTTGAATAACTGGGTACTGTAGCCTGATCAAGTGGACAGGTGGTATCAACTCCTAGTCTACCGTGAAAATGAATATGTGTGTTTAGCTCCGCACTCACTTGGAGGAGTATACATCAGTAAATGGTTGCCCTTACAGTTGATGTGGGAGTAGTAATACCTGGATTATTATAAATCTGGATCTTTGGGGCTTCATGGTGGTCATTACATTTATCCTTTCATTTACTTATTTCTTTATCCACTTGTTCCATATATTTATGGAGCCACCTGCTGTGTGCCAAGCACTGTTCTAGGGACACAGCAGTGAACAAATGGAAAAACCTCCCTGCCCTCCTGGAGTTTACTTTCTCATGAGGAAGACACAAATAAACAAGATAATTAAGTAAATAGTCTGCTACATGATGATAAATGTTGTGAAGGAAAATGAAGGGGGGGGCGTTTGAGATTGAAGCTGAAGTTTTAAATAGGGTATAACGGGAGGACTCACTAAGAGGAGGTGAGCAAAGCCCCAAGGAGGTGGGGGAGTGAAACTTGCAGATCAATGGGGAAGGGTGTTTCAGGCAGAGGGGACAACCAGAGCAAAGGCCCTGAGGTAAAAACATTCCTGGTGCGTTTGACCAGCAAGGAGGTGAGTGTGCCTAGAGTGGTGTGAGAGAGGGGAAGGGACGGGGTGTAGGACCAGAAGTAAAGGGTATCCTTCCCTAGAGTCTCTGAGCCGGACAACATAAGGCCCAGGCTTTGTATAAACCCTCCCCCAGTCCAGCTGGGGCCCCTCTGTCTCTGCAGAGACCCTTGCATCACACCGAAGCTCTAGGCTGCAGTGGGCTGGATGACCATCCCAAACAACTGACACAGAGACAGGAAAAAATGCCTCCCCAAGGACAGGAATAGTAAGTAATGGTACTGAGGGAGCACCGGTACCCCGCATCACGCTGAAGATGTTTCATAGCACCCACGAGGCAGACCCCAGCAGGAACCTTATTTTACAGATGAGGAAACTGACGCCCAGAGAAGCAAGGTCACTGGCTGATAGAGGTCCACACAGTCAGCAAAAGAGCAAGGCAGTCAAATGCCTGAATGTCATGTTTAAGGACCGGTTAAAAAGGCAGAGGTACAGATTACAGGGAGCAGGTGAGTGGGTTAGGAAGCCAGGAGGACCGACTCAGGGACCCAGACAGGGCCCATGCACATGGGCGTGTGCAGAGCCAGTGTGAGCAGGCCCGGTCTCTCCGCAGGGGCCTTCAAGAAGTACAAATCACTTTGGCAGCCCGACTGGGGGAGGCAGAGGAAAAGATCAAAGTCCTACATTCAGGTATGTATCTGGCACACGTCCCCTGGCCCCGCGCAGCTCCCCAACCCTGTCAGACCAGGAGGAGGAGTGGGAGGGGACAGTGACGCTAGGAACACAGGCTCAGGTAGTCTAGAATTGGGGGGGGGGGGGGGGGGGGGCGGTTTGAGGAGGAAGGGGATAGATCAGCGCTACACCGTGGGGGTCTGAGCCCAGTCCCTGGAGGCCACATTGCTGTGGAGAGAGGGTTGGAGAAACAGAATTAAATCAGGGGTGGCAAACTGAGTGCCTGCAGGGGCCAGACACACAACCAAGCCGTCAGGTCAGGGAAGGCAGTAGGGCAGGACGGGGTCTGGGGCAAACTGGACCACCTGGGCCTTGGCTAAAGAGATGGCCACTGTTGAGCATCAGCCAGCCACTGCCATATGACCCAGTGTCACGAGGCCTTCAGTCTTCTTGGAGAAATCAGAAGTCTTGAATTTCATAAGAAATTTCTCATTATAATACACACATATCTGTTGATTTCTTTGCTCCTCCCTGTCCCCCTCACTTGTCAGTCTGAACCTTGGAGTGGGTGAGCTCATGGATAGATGGCCCCACCCAGGTCCCGGAGTAACCTAAGGGTGTGGGGCAGCTCATACATAAGGCCATGGGACAGACAGATCCCCACCACTTGCCTGGGTCCTCTGAGCTTCGTAGACTCCTAGAGGGTCATCCTGTCTGCCCTCCAACCAGCTTGAAGCCTCTCCATGGGCAGGAAACTCTACCTGTCACTGGTTCTAACCAAAAGAAAGGTCTTCCCTTACTACCTTGAACTTCATTCTGCCTTCTGAGGCCTGCAGAAGGAGTGGGCTTCTGGGGGAAGTGGGGGGTGCTTCACCCTGGCTCTTTGCTTTTTCCCAGCGTTAAAGGCCACACAGACAGAGCTGCTGGAACTGCGGCGGAAATATGATGAGGAGGCGGCATCCAAGTAAGTGAAAACCCTGCTGAGGTATGCCTCCTCCCTCTGACCCTCCCAGACATGCCTTCTCACTCTGACCCTCCCAGACATGCCTCCTCCCTCTGATCCTACCAGATAT